TTTGCTGCTCTCGTTGCAGGGGAACCGAGGCAGTGGGACTCGGGCTCAACTCCGCCAAGCGCTTTGATGAACGAAGGAGACTAGGGCGGGGGATGCAGAGGCCTGGGGAACCGCCTGCCAGGTGGGCTGCGGCCAGGCGAGCCCCTTTCCGCTGGCTTCTCTCCACTGCTTCACGGATTTCGCATACCCTGGCGCACGGTTTCGGGGCTGGAGGCAGATCGGGCCCCAGAGGAAACTCTTTCTCCCAAGATGTGCGGGGGAACAGTCGTGGAGGAGTGATCCCCACCCGCCCCCGATCGCTCCTCGCGGCCCCGGGTCCCCGGCCTAGCTCGATCAGATCCCGATTCCCGGGGCTTTGGCGGGAAGCGCGTTCACCTCCTGGCCCTTTCCTCGCTTTGTACCTGGGTACAGCTGCTGGAGTTGGGATTTAACTTTCCTGCGCCTGCGGCGTCCCGGGGATCCCCGGCAGGGGGCGCTGAGAGCGAGCGCTCGGAGAGGCTGAGAGGATGCTACAGGCAGTTGCACCGTCCTGGTTGAGTGGGTGGAGGGTCCGAGCCAAGGAGCAGCAGGACCAGGCAGATCTTGCAGCGATTTCATAGCGGGGACGGGGAGGGAAGAGCTGATCTGTTGACCACAGAGAGCTGGCAGACTTGTTAGAAGAACGGACAGGGAAGGTGGTGGTTGCCAGACACAAGTCCCTAGCTAGAGGTCCCTTCCAGAGACAAATGTTTCAGTGCAAACTCTTCCTGTCTGAGCATCTGTCGTCTCTTTGTAACTATTGCATTTACCCAGAAAGAGGCTGAAATTGAGTGAAGATGATCTGAATTATGTGTAACGCTGTTCTGCGTTTTTGGGAGCACGTTAGTGAAAACACCAGGAGTTACAAAGGGTTGTCACAGCTTATTTTTAAGAAAGGCAGTTCTATGTCACAGCTTAACCAGAAGAGCTCTGTCATGATGGCTGAGTTTGGAAACAGCAGATATGTTATTAATTATAGAGTTAATTTTTTCTTTTGTAAGGAGACAGAAAGATAAAACCAGACTTTAATACGAAAGATTTTTCAATACCTAATTTGGATTGCTAAACTCTTGTTAATTAATGCCGGTTTCATTATGTAGGAGAGGGTAAAGTTTATCATACATGCACTATTTTGAGTGACCAGTTTACAACTTCAGTTAAAGCAAACAATACCTTAAGTTATGTATAAGTGAAGTAACTTTTCTTGTCTTTGCTTGTGTTTATATCAAAAGAAATATGGATTCTCCCCCCCCAAAAAATTTCTTTTTCTATGTTTGTTTTACATGAAAAACCAGTCCTAAATGTAATGCTTTGGTTCACTTGAAACACAACATTTTTTCCCTTAAGCTTCTTTCTTGTAAAAACTTTGGCAATGGCAGCTCATTCATGATGTTGCATGCAGTCACACTAAGAATTCCTATACTCATCGAACTGTGGGGTTGATGAACTGGCACCTACTTTAACATGCTTTTAGCCAATAAGTACTTCTCTTAATAGGGAGAAGATGGATGATGCTAATCGTTTTGTGCCTTTTAAGAATTGCACTAACTTATTTGGTTGTTTTAATGGCAAACAGCTGCGAGATCCCCCGCTGAGCTCAAAGGCTTTGGTCTCCTGGGTGGTAAAGCTCCTCTCTGTCCAAAGGAAGTTTTTGAGATGTTCAGAATTGGGTAAAAATAAACCTGTGTTCTTCACTGCCGTTTCCCTTTAAAATGATGTCTTCACCATGTCTGGAGAGAAAGAAACATAGAGACTTATAACACAGAGGCTGTTAAAACTTGTTGGCCACAGGACCAAAATGAACATATGCACACTCATACAAATTTTGTGTAAAGGTTTACAGGATTATGGGCCTTCTGAAGTCCCATCCATTTCATCCAGTAAGAAATTTTGCTCCAGAATCACTTTAGCTGCTTGCTGGGAGACAAATATTAAACCCAACAAAACCTTTCTCTGTTCTGCGTGCTATTTGCTCAAAATAACAAATGCCAGCTCCTTGGGGACTATGTCAGATGCTTCTGATGTTAGTGAGAGCTGCCTATCTGAATCATTATATAGTTTTAATTAACTTGGTGATTTTTAAAGAGTCTCAAATGTCCTTTATTTTAGTCATAAAGTCATCGAAATAGAGACTTCACTTCTGATACACATACAAGAAAATGGGGGGAGGGGAGGTGAAGACGTTTGCTCCAAGTCCAGCCAAAAGTATAAAGGCATTCCATTATGTAGACAAGTGATCATGAACTCTGGAGTTACCTAAGATCAGAAACTAATCCCGAGGAACAGATTTGAATTACATATGAGATGGTGTGCAAGATAGAACAAATTAATTAGTTTATAATATATCCCAGTCGAGGAATCCATTTTGTAGTAGGATATCTACAGCTATTTAAGAAAAGCAGCCCTATATCCTACATTAAATCATCTCTAATTCTTGATTCTAAAATTATACCAAACTTTGTATTTAAAAATGCTTCTGAAATTGTTGCTATAGTTACCCAGACAAATTGCTTAGGGCGTAATTATAATACCAAGGTGACAAATTTTTATGTTTAGCATTAACTAATGTTTAAAATGTAAATTTATGGTGTCTGATAAATTGAGTTATCACAAAGTACAAAGTGTGTAGTGTGAAACCTTGTACATTTCTGCCCACCTGCATGTACTGGCAAAGTTTTATAGAGAAAGTTAACTGTTTTCTTGAATCCGAAAATGTGTGTAAGTTCTTCAAGTTGCTTATGCTGTCTTGAGTACTGTTGTTGACAAGAGACATTTTCACATATGTTCGCAGAAACCTTTTTAAATCGAGAGGCAGCAGTTTGGTTGAAAATGACTGTTTTTGTTATTCTGCTGCTCTGCAGAAGTGATCTACCGCAGATAGGGGGCAATCTGCTGTTTCTAATCCCTGCACGGATTGGGCGCAGGTTGGGGATAAATTCAGCAGGTGAGGAGTGGCTCCTGCTTGGTAAAGATAACACTGGTACTGCTTATCCAGATACATAAAATCAATTTCTGATATCAAGAAAAGAAGAAAAAACAAAATTAAAGTAAGCTAGAAGCAACATAAACTTTTCATTTTCAATGCAAACTTGCTTTGATTCAGAATTTAAGCCAAACAGAACACAGTGGTTGAAAACTTGATCCAAGAGAAGGCAGTGGATGTTAAGTAATTTATTTTAACATACTGGTATTGACACTATTAATCTTTGGCACCTGAAAGATTCTAGAGCTAAGGAACCTGGCTCTCCCTTTCACAGAGTATTTTGAAGCCAGGCAGTTTCAAAGACAAGTCACATTTCGCCTTGTGCATGACATTTGAAATAGGATTAACGCAACACTGGGCTCAAGAAAACAGAAAATTTTCCCAGAGAAATTGCTGTTGTCTTCTTTTTTCTTCTCTTTCTTTTTTTGTCCAAGATTAATGGTTGTTTGACAAGAGCAAAGACAAGCACACTTTATTTCCCTTTCCTAAGTTTTAAAATGCTCTGGCATAGTAAGGCCAGTTGCATTTGGAAAAAGTAGAATCATTCCATTTTTTTTTAACTTTTCCCCCCTCATGTATCAGAATTGGTTTCCTGATTAACACTGAAAAAAAAAAAAAAACTATGATAAAAGAGAATGATATTTTTTAGAGGATGAATTTCTTTTATTTTTGGAAGGTCATGAACCTGCTAATCTTTTACCTTCCCATCTTTAATTCATTATTTGTCACTGTATTTCGGGGAAATTGGCTAACCCAGAATTCATGTAGAGTGATGAGGGAGTATACGCTATAACAATTTTACTTTATGTTGCATTTTTATGCACATTTGAGAGTAAATCACACGACTGCAATAGGTAATTCAATTACAGATATGTATGATAAATAACCAGGAGGAGGATGCTATCAGAAGCCAGTGCTGTTGGAGAAATAACACTGTATTTGCTGAGATGTGAAATTAAATAAGTTATAGGCGAGTGACAATCAGGATTGCACAAGGACAGATTGTTCACAGAAAATAGAGCCTCTTTCAGTCAGTTCAGATTTACCCAGTATTTGGCAACGCTGTGTGATGGACCCACGGAAACAAAAGCAGAGTCAAAGAAAGTAATTAAGAAAAAATTTGCTAAGCAGTTTCCTGTGATTTGTTTGCAAAATCATAAAACTGAAACTTCTATTCTTCTGAATCACAGGAGAGATGCATTCCTCACAAACTGACTCCAAATATAATTCCACACAAAGAGCTTCTCTTTCTGTTAAGAAAAACCTCCAAACCCCTCAACACCCCGGTGTGATGGCTCAGGCTGGTAATCCTAGCACTATGGGAGGCTGAGGCAAGAGGATAGCTTGAGGCCATGAGCTTGAGACCAGCCTGGGCAACATAGTAAGACCCAATCTCTACAAAAAATAAAAAACATTAGCCAGGTTTAGTGGTGTGTGGCTGTAGTCCCAGCTACTTGGGAGGCTGAGGCAGGAGGATGGCTTGAGCCCAGGAGTCTGAAGCTACAGTGAGCTATGATGATATCACTGTACTCTAGCCTGGGCAACAGCAGCACAATTAAAAATTGAAAAAGTATGGAAACAACCCAAGAGCCCATCAATACATGAGTGGATTAATCAAATGTGGTATATGTATACCATGGAGTACTACTCAGCCACAGAAAACAATGGTGATCTAGCACCTCTTGTACTATCCTAGATAGAGCTGGAGCCCATTCTACTAAGTGAAGTATCATAAGAATGGAAAAACAACCACCAACGTGTACTCACCATCAAATTGGTTTTAACTGATCAACACTTAAGTGCACATATAGTAGTAATATTCATTGGGTTGTTGGGCAGGTGGGGGGGAGGAGGGGATGGGCATATACACACCTAACGGGTGAGGCGTGCACCGTCTGGGGGATGGACACACTTGAAGCTCTGACTCGGGTGGGGCAAAGGCAACATACGTAACCTAAACATATGTATCCCTGTAATATACTGAAATAAAAAAAGAATAAAAGAAACCTACAACAGAAACCAGAAAAATTATAGATGCGACACATCTCAGAGAGGGCTCTCAAAGCTGTTCTGAGCCAGCTACCAAGGATGCAGCTGCCCTCCCGCCTGTCCTCCTCAGTCTCACTGTAAGAAGAGAACACGTCAGGGGTTGGGGACATTTACGCTCGGGCACCCTGTCACCAAATGGATTTTAGAATCAAAACTGGCTTCCGTGACTCCTTTTATAGGACTGAGAGATTTAGATTTGCCGTAAAACTTTACTGATTGTGAAGCCGAGAACATTGTTTATAACTGGTGGCATAAGACAAAAACAATAGTGCTGGATGTTAAGTTTCCTTTGTCCAGCAGATAGTATAATTAAGCCATTGTTCATGCTGGTTGACATATGAATATAAACTGAATGGGGATTTGCCTCTAAGACATCTGTCATTTAAATGTCTGTGGGTTCTAGCTGTGGATTTGACATTAGGAAGAAAGAGTTCTAGGAAAGCTGGGTGGGATAATTATCAAAACCATGGTCTGGTAGAGACGCTTGTCTGATTGGGCAGGGCAGTGGAGGAGCCTTGACTTAGCACTCACTGGCAATGGAGGGGTGTGGAGGGGACGCCGCGCCTACTGTGCTGGGCAGATGTCAGCAGTGGTGATCGGCAGGTCCATGGCCAGAGAAGCTGGCAGCTGCAGATGGGTGGAGCACTTGACAGGGGCCATAAGTCAGATAGACCCTCCACGAGGACCCTGCACGGAGTGGCTGGACTGTCCACGTGGGCTTGAGTAGGGACAACGCCAGGGGTGGGTCAGAATCCCACATCCGCGTTGGGTCTGTGGCTCCTTCAACAGCCAAGTCCTCAAGGTGAGGGAAAGGGGAGGTGAAGACGGCAAGCGAGGTGGCCTTCTCTGCAGCAGCGGCCAGGGTGTGTGGTCATCACGGGGCGGCCTCAGGAAGGACTAGGCAAGACGCAGAACTAGGGAGCGTGTGGAGAGCTGGCTGAGGGAGGAAGACAGAGACCCGTGGATTTGGGTGCAGTGACACAACCAAGCGAGTGTGACTAGCTGCCTGCCGAGTGGGGGTCCGCAGCTTGTCGCGTGTGTGTTGGTCACGTTCAGGATGGGTCTGCAGGCCCGGCACCTGCAGTGGGGATGGAATCGCTTCCGCCGGGGGAAGGATGTGCGTCCGAGGTTGGGAAATAGAGTGGTGTGTGATCACGGCTCGGGACTAGACTTCACCACTGCCACTGTCCCTCCTTCCGGCTACAGCCCCACCCACCTCCCTGCCAACCCCCTTTGCACGTCCTCTCCTTCCGCTTGGAATGCTTTCCAACTGCTTTTCCAGGAAGCTTGCTGCATTCAGGTCTTGCTGCCTTGAGGTCTCTGCTCAAGTGCCCTCTCTTCAGAGAGGCGTCTCCAAATAGCACTCACTAAAATAGCGGTCCCCCTTCTCTCTCCCCTAGATGCCTCTTTTTCTCTCCACGGCATTTTGCATGACCCTCGGCAGTGTATTTATTTCTTAAAGTCTTTCACCCACAGAGAATGTAAGTGTAGGAGACAGATGAGACTGTTTTGTCCATAGCTCCAGTGGGGTCACCAGTGGGGTCTAGAACAGTGCCTGGCACACACAAGGCTCCCAGGCCATATTGGATGAGTAAATAAGTGCCCTACATATTGTGTCTATAGGACACATACAACAGAGTATCCTAGATAAAGGACTGTGGCTTAAACAAGACTTTTCGGGGGCTGACCATGGACACTAAACACTATCTGTTTTATTTGGAGAAAAATGTTTCACGTACCAACAAACTAGTTTATTAGCAGTCTTGAAATACAAATATCTTTGTTAGCTGGGGAGGAGGGGGCTGTGTGTTTCCTGTATCCTAAGACAGGGCTATTTGCACAGTAAGTAGGTGCTTGGAAAATGATTTGATGACCTTGCTTGACTTGGAAATTAGCATAAATGCACTTTATGTATACAGATTATTCTAATCCAAAAATTCAAAGTCTGAAATGTTCCAAAATCTGAGACTTTTTGAGTGCTGCCACTCGAAGGATATGCTCACGTATATGATGCAGATAGTCCAAAATTCAAAAAGTCCTAAATCTGAACCACTCCTCATCCCAAGCATTTTGGATAAGGTATGCTCAACCTGTATTAAAGAATAGTAAAGTTAAAATTCAGGGATGTTCTTCACTTACTTAAAACAGCACCCTCTCTACACACACAGATTCCAAGGAACATATTGTATCTGTATTACATATTTTCACACGTTACGGAAATTTCAGACATTCTAGGATTTTAGAAATATGGCAGGCTTTCTTATTTTATTTCTGCGATCAGGCTCATAAGCCTTGACACTTAGCTGGATTTATAGATTTAATAAGCAGGAACAGAAGAATGGATAAACAAAATGTGGGATATCAGTACAACGGGCTACTGTTCAGCAATAAAATGAGTGAACTCTTGGTATATGCTGTAATATGTGTGAACCTCAAAACATTATGCTAAGTGAAAGAAGCCAGTCACAAAAGACCGAGCGATTCCATTTATAGAAATGTCCAGAAAAGGCAAACCCATGAAGTCGGCAGGCAGATTAGTGGTTGCCTGGGGCTAGCAGTTCGAACTGGAAGGGACTGCAAATGGGCAGGCTGGGTCTTTTCGGGGTGATGAAAATGGTCCAAAACTGGGTTGTGGAGATTGTTGTGCAACTCTGTAAATGTACTAAAAATTGTTGAATTGTATACTTACAATGAGTAGATTTTAAGGTATGCAATTTATACCTCAATAAAGCTATTGAAGAAAAAAGAAAATCCTGGACATAATCTCTAAAATTAGAATAAATTAGGCTGCCAGTGGCCTAAACACACATCCTGCTGCGTTTACTGGGAAATGCATTCTGTTTCCATGATTCTCACAAAGTCCAGTGCCAGGGCCACGGGATGCCGGGCTGAGCAGCGTTTTCTTTGATGCTAAGGCACTTTCTTCCTGGGAAGTAAATCTCAGCTGTAATCTCTGTTATGAAAACAAGCAATCTCAGGTTGTTTCCGGATGAGCCCACATAACCAGATGAAATCAGTCAGTTAAACCAATCAGCCAGCCTCGCTGCTAAATGTCTGGTGCACCCCAATTCCAGGCATTTGCTGGAGCTTGCTTTTCTGCTGGTGTTATTGTTTCCTTGGCGTTGCTCAGGGGGAGCATCTTTGACAACACAGAATCGAGTGGTCTCATTAGAGCTGCGGGGTCTGGAACTCCCAGAGTGTGGCTGTGCTCAGCAAATGAGGCTGCTTCCCTTTGATGGGGGCAAGTTCACAATGCCTGCTCCTGTGTCCTCGCTCCGTTTCCCAGCCGGGCGTTCGCTTCAGCTGGTGAGGCAGGTAACTTCTAACAGCCAGACCCGGTGGCAGGATGCAGATTTGTAAACGCCCGGAGCCTGAGTACTTAAAGGTGAGCGTGCTTTTTTTTTCCCTCTTAGAGAGAGAAGAGTCGCAAGAGTTGCTTCTAGCTTTTTCTGTTCTGCTTTGGCACGCTTTGCAGTGAAAGTGAAAAGCTGCAAATAGGTTATGGGGAGAGATACATACGCATTGTCTGTAATTTCCTTGCTCTTCGACTGTCGTCTCTGGGTGGAAGCGAGTGTCTTTAGCTTTCCCCTCTTGTTTATTGCCACTTCCATCTGTTTGGTGTGTTAAAACCCTCTCCGCCTCCTGCCACGGGGCTTCCTCAGCTCTCTCGTGGGCACTTTGCTTTCCCCTCACCAGTTGGTTTCCACATGGTGGCTTTCCGTGGGCGTGTTTACTTTGGCACAGGTGGTTCCTGCTCCAGATACGCCCGGCATGGCTTTTGGGGTCTGGCCGAGGCTGGCTAGCCTTTGGAGCTCCTGGGCATCTCTCCGTTAGGGATAGAATGTTTTTATCCAGCCCTGTGGTGCTTCAGGCAAGCATTTTCGGTCCTTGCAGTTAGTGTATGCAAAATTGAGATGGAAGGTTCTAGTCCTAGTGCAGTAGCGTCACTGACCGCTTGCCAGGGCCAGTTCTGACTAGCTTCTTCTGAGTTTGCCTCCTCCCAAACACACAGCCTAGCCTAGAAGCAAATTAAGAGTAACGTTTATAAAATGACCGTGTTTTTCTGTGACCAATCCCAAGTCCTTACTCACCCTTAGTGAATGGTAATAGGAGGGTGCATTCATATTTCCATCTGTTTATGGGATGGCGAAGGAGTGAGTGACATTTTTATCTTTGATACTGCTTTTGATGGTTTCAGTTGATCAATAAAATACCGTTGAGGTAAAGTACTTTCTTATGGTTTTTATGGTTTTGTTTTCTTTCGTCTCCAATGAGCTACTGTTCTCCACGTTTCGAGGTTAACCAGATAGGCATTCTGTTAAACAGATTGGTTACATGATTATGGAAATTTCTGTGTTGGCAGGACACATATTTAGTTTTGAAGCAGAAAGAATAGGAAAGCACTGCAATTTTCTCTTGTTTTAAAGCATCTTTTAGAGTAATCCTAGGTTTGTGTTGATTCTGATAGCCTGGGTTGATCATAATTAAAGCAACTCGCAGCGTTGTGTGCAGAATTATGAGAAGACATCATCATAAGTGGGAAAATGTATAAGACCAGTACTTTTGATGATTTCAACTTTTTAAAATAACCATTTACTTTTCTGAAAAGCATCCAAATGTTAGCATCGAATATTGATTTTTGGACACTCTAAGATGCATAGGACGTTAACTTTATTCTGCAGGCTGGAACTTAGGGAAGGGCCCTGAATGTTCACTGCATAGCCTGGGCAGGTGAATACATTTGGTTGCTTGCATCTGTGGGTACCTTCTTTTGTCCTGTCATTGTTCTGAAGTTTAAAACCAAAATATCTTCGCCAATGTGTCAGTGAAGAAAAACCTTATTAAAATTTGAGCTATAAATTAAAGGTAGACATCTTATTTATTTGTTTAATGTTTCTAGGCTCTAAATATAAAAGAAAAACTATGTTTTGCAGAGCAGGCATCCAATGCCCAGATACTGAACCTTTGCCCAAGGCAAGTGACCAGACTTCCAAGCTGGAAAGGAAAGTTCTGGACAGCAGTTTCCTGTCCTTTAGATAGGGCTGCCTCCAAGTACCCTTCAATGAGAGTTTCCCCTCTCTGTCACAGGTATTCTCTGTTCTTCCCTCTCCTTATCATTGTCCTCCTCTTGTTAATTTCTCTGCTACCCAGCAGAATTTTAATTATTATGCTCCTTTTTTACCATAAAGTTTGGAACCAAACCATGCTACCCCCCACCCCATGTAAATGGTGCTTGCCCGGTTTTGTGCCTTGTGTGTGACATTGTCTGGCATCTTTAGCATCTGGCTCCTTTGCTATGGGGTCCAGGGGCTGCTTCTGACATGGCAGGGAGCAGTAGGAACACATTCCGTGGCTCCTGGTCTTGTTCCTGGGCTGCTTCGCATTGGCTCACATCCACCAGCCCTCATCGGGGTCAGTTATGAGAACGACAGGAATGGGATGACCATGCAGGTGCACCCTGACTTCTGAGTCACATGCAATGGAGCTGGGTAAAACCTGCATCTGCTCATCTCCTCGGGTAACCGGGTAGCTCTTCGCTTGCTGCAGGGCAATAGGAACTCCCTCCTGTTCCTTCTTCAGCCCTGCTTCCTGGTGGAAAAGATCTGAGGCCTTAGGGCTTCCCAGGCCCTGCCTCCTCTCCACCTTTGAAACACCCTCACTTCTTTTGGCCCTGCTGGGCAGGCGGGAAGAGCTGATCCCAGGTGGTTGAGTTGAAAGTATTCCCACTCTACCTATCCACCCCTATTTTTTTTTTTAAATGCATATCTTAAACCAGCATTTTTCTAAAGCTTTCTACACCTAAGAATGCCACTCTGAATATAAATTGTGCAGCGGTCACGGGGGTGGCTTGGGCGGTCGGGGAGGCGGGGCGCCGTACAGAGAGCGCTGTGCAAGTCCAGACGATGCATTTTGGCTGGCGCAGCTTTCTAAGCAGACTCTGAAGTCAGGCCTGGAGCCAAATTTACTTTCTGTCTGCCAGAAGTGATGGAATGCCTAGGGTCTATCACCAGCTTGTGAAAAGAAATCATTCAGGAAACTGCAAGCTGGCAAGAAAGAATCGGAAAGATTCATTCACTTGAAAGCTTATGCCTGCAAATGTTACTTAACTTTGAACAGCTTCTCCAGGCCTACCTGCTGAGTTCCATCTCCTGGAGGTTTGTCCTGGTATGGAGCAGAGCTGGTACGGTCCACAGCGGGCATCTCACCGCTGGGCTGAGAGGCGGGAACAAGCAGCACAAGGGCCTTCTGAAAACCCAGGTCTCACTCAGCCCTCACCCAGGTATCCATGTGATCAGGTCACTTTCTAGAACTTCCTGGAGTAAATGTAAACGCTTGCACTTTATTTCTTGAAGCTACAAACAGGACAAGTCGGGACAACAGTCACTTTTCGCTGTGGTCATGCACCCTGTCCATTAAAATACCTGGAAGACATTTTTAAAGGAGCCTCTATTGATGAGTTAATTGTTTATTGAGGTCGGCTCCTGGAAATGAATGCTTTCAACTTGGACCACAGCTAGAGGGAAGATCGACTTGCCCAACATGGGGAAGAAAACACAGAAAGTCACACACCCTAAGTTTTTGATGGGCGAGAAGGGTATTTCCCAATGTCTACGGGGTATTTGAAAGGAATTGTTTTCCTCGTATGTAGAAATTAATTATAAGAGAAAACCACACGCCCCAGATTCAAAGGCTGTTCCGAGGTTTTATTCCATTTGTTTGTTTTGTTTGGTGGAGGGGAGCAGGAGAGGCTTGGGCGGGCGTCTGAGAGAGAAGACCTGCTAAACATCCCTCATTTGATCTTTGCGACTCTGAGCGCTTCATCATCTTTAGGAAAATCCCAGTTTTTCTCCTGGTGGCTAGTCACTTTGTTCTTTTCTCTCAGGAGGGAAAAGAATCATCGCGACCTCTCAGGCCACTGCGTGTGGATGAGAGGAGAACCTCAGTAAGGTGCGGGTCCTATTCTATCATTCTCCAAAGTGTCACTCTGCACACCACGGAGATCTCTCCTCACTCAGCTCACCCGGCTCCCTGCCCGGGTGAACTAGAAGGGTCCTTCCCTCATGCTAAGTCCACGCTGGCTTTTTCTGTCTTCCCGCTGCTTCCGAGATGGCTTATGATCTCCTGAACAGCCAGGAAGCATGACAGTCCAATCTGGCAGGGGGACACAGAAGGACGGGAATACCAGGCGACCTGGCCCTCAGAGTGGGCTCCTACATGGCCCGTAAGTCCCGGCCACACGTTCACTCCCGGTGATCTGTTACCAAGAGTCCCTTTAATTAGGGGTGGTGGCACACGAACTTTAATGTGGTTTTGGGTTTGTTGCTAAGTGCGTTTCAATAGGCTTTCACTATTTTGTTTTTTAATTAAAAGTGTAAGTTCTCTGAAGACCTGGCTTTTGGGCCTGAACTTCCTGCCTCCAGGTTGTTGGAGATGGCCCCGTGAGGGGAGAACAAGGCTGGCTTCCTGGCCCTGGCATCTTCGGAGCCTGACAAAGGGCGCAATTAGTGACTTGCTCCTGGTGGGGATGCATGTGGGATGCCCTCAGGGCCAAGTGGCCTTTTGTGGATTCTTCTTTAATTGCACTTTGAGGGAACATAGAGTTGGCTACGGGGTTTAATTAAGCCTGCAGGGCTGAACCATGAAAACAAATCAAAAGCATGTTAGGGAAGGCTGCTTTCTTGAAAGTTTATAGGATTGCTCGGTTTGTATTTGTTTCTTTTCAGGTAAGGATTGGTGTGTCCTTTTAAACCCAGCCATTGGGCCTGACTTTGACTTCTTTCTACTGCTTGGCCATTCTGCCTGGTAATTGCAGGCGTGACCCAAATATGTTACAGTTCATGCCAGATGCTTAAAAATACCCCGTGGTGGAGGGGGCTGAGTTCTTCTTTTGTGTCTTTCCTATATGTGGGAAGAAAAAGTTTTTGTGGATGTATTTATATAAGAGAATTTGGCCTCAGACTTTTAAGAATTGGTAGACAACTAAAGGAATTCGTATAAAGACATAATTAGAGGCACATATGAAACTTGTAAAGTATACATGTTTGAAATGCTTTGCTTTGCTGAGCCATTGGGAGTTTATTAGCTGTTTCCTTTTCCCACATTAACTTCCAAGTGATTAATTGGATTTATTTAATTAAATGCTCCATGTTTAAGTGGAGTGGAGGCCCAGGGAGTATTCTGCAAATAATATTGGTTGTTTCTTATTGAATATTTTAGATGGATATTTTATACCTATAATATATAACATGGACTGTTTATACTTAGAGAAAAGACATGAAAGTCTATATTAATAACCTCTTACTATTTAACCTTTAGTTCTAAGGTGAAAAGTCTATTTAAAAAATCTTATGGGCGACCTCAAGAATTCCGTGTCATGAAATTCTA